GCTAACCTTGAACAAAAGAAGTTCAGGGACAGGCCTTCAGTTCAAGCCCCAGGTCTGGTCCCCCCAAAAGAAAGATATCAGTATGGGGAGAGGAGGGAGTACATGTGCTTGTACCAATACTAGGGTATTAACTCAGCACCTGGGCGCTGTCCCTCAGCTCTTTCACTCCAGGCTGGCACTCTACCACTTGAACCACAGCTCCATATCTGGCTTTTTGGTGGTTAGGTAGTCTCATGGTCTTTTCGGTTCAAGCTAGCTTTGACCTGGGTCCCTCAGCTTTCAGCCTCCTGAGTAAGATTACAGGCATGCGCCACCACGCTGGGCAAAATATCACGCTGAAACGCTACTTTCTTCTCCCAGGAGTGAGCTATAATTACTGACTCTCTTCTCTCACACGGGCTAAGGCAGAAATAACTAGCATGTGACTCTAAGGGTTAACTCAGACAAGGCAGTGGAGACAGAGGCGCAGCCCCCCCAAGTGGTAGAGTACCAGCCTTAGTAGCAAGGCCCTGAGTTCAAGCAGAGAGAGAGAGAGAAACAAAAACCGGGATTACAGGAATGCACCATTGCACCAGATTCTCCAAAATAATGTTATGACAGAGAGAGGAAAGAGAAGAGGAGGAGGAGGATCATGATGATCACCATCATGATCGTGGTCATCATCATGATCATCATCATCATCAGGGCTGGGTCAGAAAGTGGGATTGGAGCCAGAGTACCACCCAGCCAGGGCCTGGGCTTTCCAAGCTGCAGCTCCTCCACACAGAGCCCCAGTGTTCCCTGGGCATGGCTGCAGTCCAAGAGAAACATCGCTGGCACCAGGCAATGTCTGTCTCCCTCCCCCCCCCCCCACAACTGTGCTCACAGGTAGGTGGGGCAGGCGAGGAACTGGCCTCAGGAGACCCTTCTCAATAGCTGGGCACTGGGAAACCCAGAGGATGTAAACTCCTGCCTCAGCCTTGGTCTTGGGCACCCCATCAGTACTGGCTATACCCCCACAGCGCGCTTCCTCCCCACACTTAATCTTCCTCAAGAAGTCACAAGTCAGATTGTTGTAGGCAAGCTGGGTGAGGTGACACATGCCTGTAATCCCAGCATTGGAGAAGCTGAGGCAGGAGGATCAGGGGTTCCAGATCAGCCAGGGCTGCATAGAGACGACTTGTCAAGAAGAGGTGGGAAGCCGGGCACCGGTGGCTCATGCCTGTAATCCTAGCTACTCAGGAGGCTGAGATCTGAGGATCGCGGTTCAAAGCCAGCCCGGGCAGGAAAGTCCATGAGACTCTGATCTCCAATAAACCACCAGGAAACCAGAAGTGGCGCTCGCCTTGAGCTGAAGAGCTGAGGGACAGTGCCCAGGCCCTGAGTTCAAGTCCCAAGAATGACAAAGCAATAAAAGAGGTGAGAGAGGGAGGAAGGAAGGAGGGAGGGAAGGAAAAAGGAAGGAGGAAGAGGAAGGAAGGAGGAAGGAAGGAAAGAAGGAGGAAGGAAAGGAAGGAAGGAAGGAAGGAAGGAAGGAAGGAAGGAAGGAAGGAAGGAAGGAGAAAAAGCAAGTTAGAGACTGGGAGGATTATGATGGAGGATTATTATATATATATGTGTGTGTGTGTATACTATATGTATATGTGTGTATATACATACATATAATAAGAAGTACCCTGGAATGTGAATGAAAGCAATAATGTGGGATCTAGTTCTTTCTATCACCTCACTCAGCACCCTAGCAACCATGTTTAGTAAAGGGAGCCCACAGCCAGGCCAGACCTAGAAGGAAAGATTAGGACAAACCACGTTTGAAAAGTTAACTAGTGATTTTCTAGTTTATCTTGGGGAGGAGATCATTCTTTTGTTTGGGAAGAAAAGGGAAAAAATTAGAAAACAAAGAGTTGGGGAGAGGTGTGGTGCCAAGAGTTCTAAGCCAGCCTGGACCACTGAGACCCATTCAATTCAATCAAGAAAAAAAGATAGTTGGGCATTGTGACACCTGCCTGTAAATGCTAGTTCCTCAGGAGGCTGAGGTCTGAGGATCCTGGGTCAAAGTCAGTTGGTCAAGGAAGTTTCAGACTTGAGACTCTAATCACCAACTTACCAGTAAAAAGGCAGAGGTGAAGAACTTAAACTGTGGCTCAAGTGGTAGAACACTAACCTTGAGTAGAAATGCTAAAGGATAGTGCCCAGTTCAAGCCCCTGGAGACACACATACAATCACACACAATTACACACACACACATACATTCACAGAGCTGTAATGAACCTTTTAGTTATGTAAACAAGTCCTTGGGCGGTAGAGATAGGTTCTTCACCATAACAATGGCAAAGGAGGGGCTGTAACTTACCCTAGGCCTAGGTTACAGCTCCAGTGCTGGGAGGGGGCGGGCAGTGTTGAGTAGGAAAGGAGTGTGCTCTGGGCAGGATCTCCACCCTCCAGAGGTGAAAATCACTTCTGATTTTTCAGCCTAAGGGAGACCAGAGACGGCTACCCCAGTTCATCCAGTCATCTGGGAGCTCAGGAGAGAAGAGCATGCAGGTAAGGCAAACCCGAGCCAGGTAGGGTGGAGTTATGGAGGGGGGCGTGGTCTGAGAACTCCTATAAGGCTGGGATTTGCCAACCCAGTTCCTCCCTTTCTGAAGCTTAAATTAAGTGAGGAATCCTGCTTCCTTTTCCTTCCCCTCCTCCCCTCCTCCTTTCTTATGCTTGAACTCACGATCTGGGACCTTGTCCTTAGCTTTTTTCACTCAAGGCTGGCTGGTAGCCGGGCACTGGTGGCTCACGCTTGTCATCCTAGCTACTCAGGAGGCTGAGATCTGAGGATCGTGGTTCAAAGCCAGCCCAGGCAGGAAAGACCGTGAGACTCCTATCTCCAATAAACCACTAGAAAAATGGAGTAGCGCTGTAGCTCAAGTGGTAGAGGGTTCCCTTTGGGTGAAGAGCTCAGGGACAGCACCCAGGCCCAGAGTTCAAGCCCATGACCGACAAAAAAAAAAAAAAAAAAAGGCTGGTACTCCACCATTTGAGCCATTCCTCCATCTCTAGGTTTTTAGTGGTTCATTGGGTGCCTCATACAGGAGATCCTCAGATCTCAGCCTTAGAATCTAAGGTTACAGGCATGAGCCACTGACACTAGGCTTGCACGAAGCTCCTGGGAGAATCATATTGTCATTTACCCAGCCAAAGACAGAGTGAAATCCTCCAGGGTCAGGCCTTGTAGTCTGCACTGGAAACTGCTTGGCTCTTGGTCTGTCTCCATCCTGCCAAGGGGAACCTGGCTGAGATGAGTTGACTAGAACTAGAAGGGGAATGGCCTTCCAGAAAGACAGAAGACATGTGTGAAAGGCCCAAGAACCAGGGGGGAGCCAGGGATAGGTGAATGACAATTTCACTGGGCTGGAATGGAGAGAGGAAGGGTAGGCAAATACAGTCATAATATTCCCTGAAAATGGAACCAAGGCACTTGAGGGGGTATGGGGGATTTTGATCAAGAAGCTTTGTATTTATAAACTGACATGTTGAATTGAAACTCCTTTTGTACAACTACTGAAAGATAATTGTTATAAACGAATGTGGACCAGACATCATATATATATATATAGCCATCTATCTGTGTAAGTGGGTATGAGAAACTGAAAACTCAAAGGTGTGCTTCATATAGCCCAATTGGTAGTTTAAATAACACTCTGAAGGGTTTCGGGAGAGCAAATGACAATTCTGGCCCCTGTACCAGGATAGCCTGGCCAGGGCCTGGGGCTGGGGGCTGGGAGCTCACGCCTGTAATCCTAGCTACTCAAGAGGCTGAGATCTGAGGAGCTGTGTTCAAAGCCAGCCCAGGGAAGACAAATCCAAGAGACACCTTGAATTAACCACCAAAAAGCCAGTAGTGGAGCTGTGACTCCAGTGGTGAAGCACCTGCCTTCAGAGCATGAGACCCCCCCCCAGGACCAGCACTCACAGAAAAAAAGAGGGGTTCCGCCGTAGATTGAGCGGGGTACGTGGTAGCTTTCTAAAACCCCGGGGTGGGCTGGACCCGAAACGCTGTGCTTCAGGTGGGTGGAGATGAGGGCGGCCGGGTTCTCGCTGCAGGATAAAGCTGGTCAAGAAGGACGATGTGGGGCGTGGCCTAGTCGATGGGCGTGGTTTGAGCGCCTTGGGGGAAAGGTGGGTGTCCCGCAGCCACGCCTCCCGGGGTGAAGCTGGCTCATAAGGGGGCGTGACCATGTCTGGACGTGGCCACGCCCAGTGGGCGTGGTTTGTGTGAGCGCCTCGGGGGCGGTGGGCGACCCGCGGCCACGCCTCCCAGAGTGAAGTGGGCCCGCGAGGGGCGTGGCCTCCGCGCGAGGGGCGTGGTTTGTGTGAGCGCCTCGGGGGCGGGGGGCGGCCCGCGGCCACGCCTCCCAGGGTGAAGTGGGCCCTCGAGGGGCGTGGCCTCCGCGTGAGGGGCGTGGTTTGTGTGAGCGCCTCAGGGACGGTGGGCGGCCTGCGGCCACGCCTCCCAGGGTGAAGCGGGTCCGCGAGGGGCGTGGTTTGTGTGAGCGCCTCGGGAGCGGTGGGCGGCCCCGCGGCCGCGCCTCCCAGGGTGAAGTGGGTCCGCGAGGGGCGTGGCCTCC